TCACGTACGCGCGCCCCGTCCGCGGAATAACAGACGGGAGGGGACAGGAGCTGGACGTCTGCGACATAGTCGGAGGTGTCGGTCGCGACTGGCAGGGGAATCGGCTGCAGGCTAAAGGTGACCTTGAACGTCGGGCAAAAGTTGCCCGGGAGAGGGTTTGGAAACCCGCTGGTTTCCCCACAGGTCCCGAGAGCTCGTGGCGACCGCCGGGGCGTTTCTGGCTGCGGGGCCAGTGTCACCCCAAAACCCGCATCCGGGTCTGGGGACGGGCGGGGGGCACGTGGCAGCGCTCCCGCGCGTCCGCGGCCACAGCTCGGTGGCAGAAAGGTCCGGTGTTGTCTAAGGCAGGGTGCAGAAACGCGGCCGCGTCACCCCGAGGTGTAAAAGCTGAGATTATTTGTCACTTCCATCGCCCATAGAGGTTTGGCAGGACGCGGGATGAGTTATACGGCGGCAGTTTCCTTACCCGTAGATTTGCATGTGGCACATACCCTTTATGTCTTCTTCTCCTCGCAGTTTTCCTGCGAGTTGCCATCAATCACGTAAAGTTTATGACCACTGCAGCTCGTTTTGCATTTATTTTATCTGCTTTTTGTCCAGAGCTTACCTTTAACAGCAATATCACATACTGTGAAATGTTTATTAATACTCAAGGGTAGACAGAGTATCAACATTTCATGAGTCGATCTGTGATAGAAAGTACAATGTATATACCTTTGCTAACAGCTCCCTATTAAATTATTCTGTAAAGTATCTTACATTCGCTGAATGGCGCTGTCAGTGTGTACAGTTAACTTTCCTGCCAGCTGACCTCTGAGGCCTCTCAGTTTACATGACTTGTCTTTTTTATGGTCGGTTGATAAATTAAGGTATTCGTAAGAATGGGCACATTTTGAAATCAGAGTTTAATTTGATTCAGGGCTGAATTGTAAATACTGCAATTTGTAGTCTCTAAATAATGATTTATTCTGTCTCAAAGTGCAGCCTAACTGCTAGATCAACTAATTCAAGAATTGTGATTTAACTACCTCATGTAGCACTGAAAAAAATATCTTGGAAAACTTGGTCTGAGTTTGTAGTAGGAATCCTGTGAATGTTTCGGTATTGTCTCTGCACAGAGACCATGCGAGTTATTTTCTTCACGATCAGTGAAATAACAAGGACCAAACTGGCTTGAGAGGAAAAAAAATTTTTCAATTTTCTACCTTGAGCAGCTTAATTTCTTTTTCTCATTCAAAGAATCTGTTTCCTCAAGCAGTTCCGAGCACGGCTACGTGATGGAGGGCCCTGCGTCTCCCCAAAATAAAGGCCTGAACTAATGAGATGCCGAATCCCTCCTGTTAGCGAGCCCTGTCAGTTCCCCCTCTAGTCGATGGGCATCGAGGATGTTTGGCGTTCATGGGAATTACTGAATACCGTGCTGGATTGGGCCCTGGCTATCATCGGATTCATAAAACAAGGGTGGTTTTTTTTCTTTAAGGCTCAAGAGCAGGTGGCATAATTTTGAAGTAAGTCAGGCTCTAATTTTTACTTCTTATGGAGAAATCCTAATAAAGTAGTTGTTGCTGCACAATTAGTTGCTCATCATTTCTGCCTTGTTTCAAATTCTTTGATAACATGTCTCAGCTAAGGGAGTTAGGTAACCCTTTCTCCCAAGAAAACTTGTGTCAGAGCTGTACAAAAAGGTAGTACTTTTCTCATTAGCGGCTGATGTGATTTTAGTGGAGAATAAATGTAATCTGTTCTTTGGATTCTAGTTGTGGTTTTGTGCGTGAAATGCTGTTGACTGGAATAATTTTCATGATGCTCTTCGTGGCTGATTCTGGCAAAGCCATATCTTGTGTAGCGCTTTGGAGTGAAAGATCTAAATATTTCTATTAGCAGAAGCGTGCTAAATTTCTTGTGTGGTATTGGCATAATGGGCTGACATGAAGCAGGCAGATGCTGGACCAAAGAAAGTAGTTGGCTTGTGAAAAGATAGGAACAATTTCAGCTCTATGAACCGATAATCTCCTCGAATTCATCCATGAGCATTCGTCAAGTTTAGCACTTTGCTGCTGTTTAATGGCTGTTTAGGTTAGGCTAGGGTCCTTCAGCGTGGCAGAGGAGGGTGAGTTTGAATTTACGTCTTCTTTGCATCTCATAGGTGTATGAATTAATCTGGGAGAAAACAATCAGCATCTTTGTAGATCAAGAGGAGTTAACAAAATTGATTGCAGAAATTGGTTTATTTCTAATGCTTATGATTAAATACCTGACATCATATTCCTTTCTAAAGACTGTTCTAGCCAGGGGTTTGGTAACAGTAACTCTTGGATACCTAGAAATTAATCTGTTTTCAGTTAAAATGTCAATGCATATCAAATGGATATGAAATAAACCCATGTCTGTAGCTGCTGTGCTGTTAAGAGGTTATTCATAGCCACATTTTAATCATATCTCGTTAAACAAAAGTTTTGAAAGTAAATTTGTGAATAAATTACTGCAAGCTATGTTTATGGATGGACGTAGAAAGTGCTAAGGCCCTGATACCATTTTTAATTACCTGGGCATCGAAAATCTTTGGTTTCTGAGGAAGCCGCATCATGCCAGTAGGGGCTCGAGATGTGGAGGGTAAATTTAACATAAACTACACTTGGCATGCAAGGAGTATCAAAAGTGACGTGTAAAGCAAATTTAACCTTCACAAATTCAAAACTCTGTAACTCAGAAAGAAATGGTGCTTCTGAAGGTTTCTACATAGATCTTGAGAACCAAAGCTATCTTTCTAACTATGTATTTCTGGATAGCTGTACAGAGACATTAGATGTATGAAATACAGTTTTGAGACAACTTGCAGCCAAAGTACTGGTACTATGTAAAGGACACAAGCTTCCTAATTTTTTTTTTTTTTCTCCCGGAGAGTTCCTTATTTATGCAGTTCTAATCTAATCAGTCTCGAAGTCTGCCTGTCGTGGCTGGGAGTTTGCATCCCGCTGTACGTGCCATTCCACTTCCCTTTGAGGTGTGAATTGGTTTTGGTCCTCCGAGACCGAAATATTAACCGGCCATTCGATACCCATTCTGTTTTGTCATGCTAAAGTAGAACTATTTCTCATATTTAAGCTGAAAGGCACATAAGCCTCAAAGCTGGCAGTCTGTAGGCTTGGGATAACACCAGGGCAAATGGGGCGGAGATGTTGCTTAATACCCAGGTTAAGCGTACGATAACGCCGATGCTTTCAGCTTCCAGTGAGGGAAGGAGGGGGCATCACTCTGGAGCACCTCCTGCCGCCTGTTTGTGGTGGCAGGAACGGGCAGGCGAGCAGCTGCTGGTACGGGGGCTCAGGGAGAGGAAAATGGACACGGGAGGAAGGATGCGTGGCAATGACCTTCCAACCTGGTGCAGGACAGCCTATTTCCTGAGCTGCTGACTCAAGGGTACAGCAAGCCCTCCCCATGTGTGTCCTTGGTTGGGATTGGGCAAGAGAGAGGGAAACAGTGGTCAGGCACCTCAAATTTGCTGGGAAATGTGCAAAACTTGAAACCTGACATGAGGTTTTTGGTGTGAGCCTGGGAACTACCGCTGGATCTCAATCAAGCATAGCTTGACTACAGAAAAGGAAGGAAAAACGTGAAGGTTGTCGGTGTTGGTGGTGTTGGGTTTTTTTTCCTATTGGCAAGTATTATCTTTATGGAGAACGTCTTTAGAATATCTTACGTGCAGTAAGCAGGAGCTCTTTCGGTTATCTTGCAATTAGTTTGTAGCGCTTTCAGATGAACACCACTAGACTGGAAGGTCAACTTTGGCCCTGGTTCATTCTGTGCCAGTATCGCCTTCTTGAAAACTCTGGTGGTGGTCACCCCGTTCCACCCCTGGGAGACTTGGCCGTTCATTTACAGAAACAACCCTTCTGAAATCCCAACAACTCTGATTTTTTAGATGAAGACCTAATTGTAAGAGCCTGAATCTGCCTCCTTAAAAACTCCGTTTGCATTAGTTGAGAGAAAGCAGGAGACGGTCTTTTTTGACATATACTGTCAAGCAGGGCCTGATCCTACCACTCGCACATAGCAGGATTTTGGTATCCCTGGACTCCAGGCGAGTTGCTTGCAGGGTGGGATGCTACCTGGTGTGCAGGTGGTAGGATTGGGTCCCTGCAACAGAACTCCTTGTTATTTTATTATTACAGGTGAAGCAGCCAAACTTCACTTGCTTTAATGTGCTTCTTGATGAGGAATGATCTCTAAAGACTGTGACCTGATAACAGTGTAAGACTCTGGATTTCCCATCTGAATTTGTGATACTTCTGGGGGTTTTTTGTTTGGTTTTGTGTTTGGTTGTTTTGTTTTTTTTTTTTTTTTAGATTTATCATTCTTTGCTTTCCTGTATGAAAGGAGCCTGTAATGTAAACAAACATCACATCTCCAGCATAACTGTTTCTGACACCAAATCTCTGAAAATTCTTTTAATACATCCAGAATTTGTGGGCAAAGACAGGAGAATAAACATAATGTTTATAAGTATTAAAAGCTTTTTTTTTTTCAATCCATCCTGGTTGCAAACTAAGCATTGACTACTGTCTTGATTTTACAGATTATTTCATGCTGAAATTATGCCTATTTGCATGGATAGTCATTCTTTAAAACTAGCCACAGATGCAGTCCTAGGGAGCACGTAGATGTTTTTACAGGTGAACCGAAAGAGATGGGAGCAATTCCAAAAAGTCTGCATGCTGCCTTTGGCAATATACCCTGTTATTGTGAAGACTGTGCTCTGTTAAGCAAATGTAAAGTTTAATATTAGATAAGCGTCGCATGAAAAATATTTTAATTTTCCTCAGTGTTAAATTTTAAGAAACAGGAAAGAGTGTCTAGTGCTTTATGTGCAATGTGAGTTTAGCATCACTGGTTAATAAGTCACAAATTATGTCAAAAGCCTTTTACAAAATGCAAGGAAGTGTGTTATCTTTTTATGCTGTGTTCCTGGGAAACAATGAGAGTTCATATAAAGAGAAGGT